CTATAGCTTACAGTTAGCACGATGGTGCCTGCTGTAGTCTAGAATCTCTGCAGGTGTTCCTTCTTGATCCACATCAACTGTACAAGGCAGACACAAGGTCATCTTTAATAGGCAGAGGCAGAGAATCTGACGCATAGAGAAAGTGGTAGCTGCTTCTAGGGAGACGGACACGTAGATTTGTAGCATGCATCTGAAGAGTAAAACAGTATTAGTTTAGATTTTAAAAATGATTATGTATAATATATGGCAAGAGAATAATTTCTGAGGTCTCTGTGTATGGTTTGAGTCTTTTTTTTTTTTATACAAACAATGACTTGGCAAAACACTTTAGCCCAGTAATGAATTGCCAGCGGTATATTAGATTACAGCCTGAACTTTGGAGTTCTCTAAGGTCTGCTTTGTTTGGCCTGCCAGCACTTGAACGCCTCCATCATTTGGCTACTGCAGTTGCTCTGCTGAGATGACTCAGCAGGTGTGCCTTCCACCAAGCCTGACCTGATTTCCGTCCCTGGGGCCACATGGTGGGTCCATAAGTTGACCTCTGACCCATACTTGTGCCTTTGCGTGTGCATGCGCACATGCACATACACACACAATGCACACGCACACAACCATATAAAGTCAGTGTTTTTTTAAACTTATTAAAGGGTCTGAGCCTCCACCGTTGAGAAATGGGGAGACTGGGAAGCAGTGGAGGGCGGCGGGGTGCTCATGGAAGAGCATCTAACAGAGCGGCTGGTGTGGTGGTGCTCCCTGTCTGGCTCCTCTCTCCCTTGCCCACCTAATCTTAGGCATACTGGACGTTTTCTTCGAGTCAGCTCCCTGGCACCTGGCACATGTCAGCTCATTGCCAGTGACAGTTATTAGGAATGCCATCCATCTTAGACCCATAAACTCCTGTGCTAAGTGTCTCCACTGTACCTCGCTGTACACGCCTTTCTCCCCCTGTGCTGCCTCTTTGAGGTCACCAGGGACACTCGAGGCAGTCTCTTGTCTTTGGAGTGTATATATATATGTAGCTTAGGTCCAACAGGAAAGAATAAGTACAGGGCTGGGCTGGAGAGCAGGCTCCACAGTCAAGAGTACACCCTGCTCCTACAGACCTGAGCTTGGTTCCAATCACCCTCTCCCGATGGTCATAACTGCCTGTCATTCCAACTGCAGGGAACTCAGCACTCTCTTCTGGCGTCTGTGACGTCACACTCATGTACACACACAGTTTTAATGCAGTGTCACCATTTTCACATTAGTCAGTTGCTAAGACCATGCGACGTGCCCAGCATGTTCCCAAGTGTCTGTTCTGTAAGCGCATGGCAGCCGTTGAGTCCATGTTGTGTGAAGTTCTTTCCAGCCACAGGTCACTGTTGCGGTGCACGCACTGGCATGTGTATGTGTGGTGTCCCTCATGTCTAGCTATTTGCTCCTTTGTCTCCTTACCTGAACACCTCAGCTACAACATGTTCGGACACTTCAAGTTCTGCATCACCCTCTGCGGAGGATACATCTTATTTAAGGATCCACTGTCGGTAAACCAAGGGCTCGGCATCTTATGCACGCTGTTCGGTATCCTCACCTACACCCACTTTAAACTCAGCGAACAGGAAGGCAGTAAGAGTAAGCTGGTCCAACGGCCCTGAGCTTTGGCGGAGAAGAGAAAAGTGGAATCGTAAGGATGAGAAATGACAGATGTGTACGTCTGGAAAAGCTCCCTGCGGAATTCAGTCAGTGACGTACAAGAGGTATTTTCTTCACAGAGAGTGAGTTTTCTAGTACCTTTTATCGATTTAATTTTTTAAAACCAAAATGCTTCAGGCTTCTTTTCAAAGACTTTACGAACCTGGAGCTGGCACTTGGTGGTACAGTGTTTGCCTCGCACGCGTGAGACCCCGGCCTCAAACTCCAGCACCGTCAAAGAAATGCTAGAGACTGCATATAAGATGCTTCATTCTGCCAGCCGAAGTACAGGAGAGTTCGGTTCCACTGGAATGACAGAGCACTCCGGTGCTGCAGCTATACCGTGGTTGTCCGTGTCCATGATCTCCCAGGGAAGGGCACGACAACTACTGCCAGCTCACCCATGCCTTCCCATCGGGAAGTTCTTTGTTGTCCAGACAGGGTGGTGATCATAGTTGTTTTGTGACTGGATCTCACTGTGTAGCCCCGACTGGTCTGGAATTCTCCACCTAGACCAAACTGGCTTTTAACCCCACCACTCCGGCTAAGCCCTTAGCTTCTTTACAATTTCACTGTGGAACCGAAATATTTATAGAAAGCAAGCTGTCATAGACATGATCATGAGACAAATTACAACTCTGAAAGTTTCACTTTTTCAGTGGACAATTGATACAGGACGTTCTTCCCCGTTAGACAGGCGGGACTGCTTGAGCCAAAGCCGGCTCAACAGCACAGGCTCTACCTGAGCCAGAGGGAGTGTCTGTAAGGAGCAGTGTTGGTGGGATGACGGTCTCACTGGTCTCCTAGTGGCTTTGGGCCTTCGGGGAGTTCTAGATACTATATATGGAGTCAAATGAAAACCCATGATTAAACAGCTCAAAGGAAAGTCTTCTAGGGCCAGCGGGTATAGCCCAGTAATAGAATACCTGCCTAGCACTCACAGGTGGGTCCCTTTTGTCCTGGTAACTGCCTTCCCAGCTTGCTTAGTCATTTCATGTCAGTGATTTCTAATACGGCTTCCCTCAACGCTCCCTGCCCCCCACATACTGAAGCAGCAGTGGGGAGTATGGTACTGGGAACCGAACTGAATTATGCCTTCCGTTTTTATGGGGCAAATTGGAGCAAAAGCTGTCCAAATTCTAGGCGGAAACTTGGTGAAAAAAATAGGAAAGATACGATAGAGAGGTAGGAAACTAGCTTTGTGTGAGGTTTCAGAGGAACTGAGAAATATTTTTAATTGAGATGCAGACAGGACACATGGGTCTCCAAGGAAGAGGGTGCTGGGTATTTAATTACAAAGTGAATGTGTGTCTGCCTTCAAGTAGATTGACATTTCGCCATTAAAAGCAGCCACTGATGGATGACCTCAGAAGAGTCAGATCTCTTGAAATAATAACTTTTTCTAAACGTACACTTTTTGTGAGAAAACAGCTTATGACAAAGCCATGTCTTGTGGTAATAAATTATATTTTGAATTTTTTTTTTCACAGAGAGAAGTAACTTTTAATATACTAGGGTTTTTTGTTGGTAGTCGTAGTTTTTAGGTTTTTTTTTTTTAACCAAATAAAAAAGCCTGGGTTGTATCCCCAGCACTGCCAAAACAAAACGTTTTCAAGTAATCAGGAAACAGGCTAGCGGGGGAGACACACTCCTAGATCCCAAGATTTGGGCAGCTGAGTCGGGGCTAGAAGTTCCCTGTCCATGGACCACACAGACTCCCAGGTCAGCCTGAATTGCATACTGAGATTCTATTAAGGGGACAGGAAATGTGCCTGTTTTAGGTTTTTTTTTTCCTGGCCCATTTAAAGTACAAAGCCACATTAAATGTGTATTCTGGAGAATGGCAGTGTGTGTTGTGTCCATGTGCTTCCGTGAATATTTGTTTTAAATATTGTCCTCCTCGGTTTACAGAGTCATGTGATTATGCCAAGAACTACAGAACATGCTGTCTGTACCATTATAGACCTTTGGTATTCTGCTCAAGAAACATTTTCTATGTATGTTTAGATTAATGTTTAACAGTTTCCCAGAAGCTGATGAAAAGGATTCCAGCATAGAGATCATCAGGTTTCTGTGAGTTAGGAACACCTGAGTTGATTTGTGCTGGGTACAAGTCTTAGGTGTAGGTGAGGCCTGGGGACGGGTGGTCTGAAAAGTTAGGTGTGTGGGGTATAATAAATGTCTGGTGTCAGTAGGGATGAGGGAGAGTGGAAGCAAGATGAGTCAAGGTGTGTTTACATACATGAATAAACTGTACTATGAGAACCCTGCAGGCTGAGAAGCAGTTTTTTGCACCATGAAGACTGTCATCTAGTTGAAAATTAAATTCCTGAGGAAAACACCGATTCCATGAAACAAGCACAATGACAGGCACTAGATAGCACTGTCTTTTTGTCGCCAATGGAACTGGATGTAGTTTTTTATCCTATGTCAAATGACTAAACTTCAACTCTTGCTATAAACGCTAAGGATCCCTTGTTCTCACTTCTCACTTCATTAGAGCCCATAAGGAAAGCGGGCATCTGTGTGTGTGGAAGTGCTGGTCTGTACTGCTTGCTAACCCACAGCTCAGATGCAGCCAAATTCCAAGTCCCTTGTCAACTAATGGGGGGCGGGGGTCATAGGAAGATGCTTCGGTGGGTTAAAATATTTGGCTGCCCAAGCATGAGAACAACTTGAGTCTGAGTTCCTAGCACCTACATTAAAAGGGGGTGGGGGAGGAAACAGGCATGGGGTACTGGAGAGATAGCTCATAGGTAAGTGCCCAGGCTGCTCTTCCTGAGAACCTGCTTTGATTCCCAGCGCCCGCATGACAGCTCTTAAGCCTCTATCACTCCAGTTCCAGGAGATGGACATCCTTTCCTGCTCAACAGGTACCAGTTATGCAAGTGGTACAGAGACAGACATGCAGGCAGAACAGCCATGTAGACCAGGCTGGCCTTGAACTCAGAGATCTCTGCCCCCTTAAAGGCATGTGCCATCCAGCCTGGACATACACATAAAACTTTAAAAAATAGAAGCTAAGTGCAACTGTGGAAACCCTTAAACCCAGTACTGTGTGGGAAGGAGAGGCAGGATCCCCAGGGCTTGATGGGTCCAGTCTAGCTTCAGTGTCTGTGAGAGGTCTCTCAGGAACAAGGCAGCATGACAGGACACCTACCGGCTTCCTCTAATTCTGCACACATCAGTAAGTACATTCACGCATGCCCAAGGAAAACAGAAATCGTTAAGATAACCTGAAGGAGTCAGGTGTGGGTGTACACTCCTTTAATCACTGCACTCAGAGGCAAGGGAATCTGGTTCCTTGAGTTGGAAGCCAGCCTGATCTATATACAGAATGCTAGACCTAGTCAGGGCTGTCTAGTGACATTGCTGCTACCTGGTGTTTGCTTGCTGGCTGCCTCTTCTGGGTTGTAAAGGGAAGAAGCCTATTAAGGGTTAGGTTAGTTATCTGCAGCCTTGGGCATGCTCTTATGGATATTGTGTGTGTGTTCTGTGCTGTCTCACTAGTAATGACAGTATAAAGAAACCATTCTCGGAATGTGGCCTTTCCTGTGCTTTCTTCTCTAAAATACCTCTAAGACTTGCTGCATTAAAATCATTAATGCCTTAAATTTTATTTCAGTCACTCAAAGCACAGTAAATTCGCTTGTTTTGAGATGGGCCTCACGCAGACAGGCTGGCCTTGATACGTAACAGATTGATACAGCCTTCCAGCCTTTACCTCCAGAGCTCCTGACTTACAGGTGTGAGGCATAACATCCAGCAAAATGTTTAACTTTTAAGGTTTTCCTTTTCCAACCTAATATTCTGTACCAAGCATGCGTTTTCAGTTTCCTGTTTCTTCAGTTAGAAATCAGACCTACATTCATGGCCAATCAAGAGTGGGTGGCTCTTATCTGTCAGTCTGGGAGGTACAGAGTCAGTCTGGACTCCCTGTGGCAATGGCGGGCCTCCGGATCTGTCTCTGGCAGGAGTTGAAAAGGAAAGCCAGCCCTCACAGCCTGTACATCTAAGAGAATTATGTCATTCACTGACCACAACTGTAAGAATCAAAAGATAAAAGTTCGTGCAGATAGTGGTTCGCTTGCACATACGTCTGCATCACAAACACGGATGGTTCTCACAGAGACCAGAAGAGGGCATCCACACCCTGGATCTAGAGTTACAGATGGTTGTGAGCCACCGTGTGGATACTGGGGAAAAACCGGGTCCTCTTCAAGAGCAGCAAGGGCTCTTAACCACTGAGCCATCTCCAGCCCTCAGAAAATATAACAAAAATGTGGGAGGAAGAAAAAAAAAAGACAAACACTGTGTTTTGTCTGAAACATTCTTATTTGCTCACTTCTCTAAAGGTTTAAGTGAGCCAGTTTCTCTTGACTGTCTTTTAGTCAGGGCTGGTCCTGTACCATCTCTTCTGTGGAACATAAGCAAAGTTGAAGATTCTTGAATCTTTGATCCAAGGAACAGGACAGAGGTGGCTAGTTGTTCCTTGTCCCAACTCTTTTCTTTTCTTTTTTGAGACAGGGTTTCTCTGTGTAGCCCTGGCTGTCCTGGAACTCACTCTGTAGACCAGGCTAGCCTCAAACTCAGAAATACGCCTGCTTCTGCCTCCCAAATGTTGAGATTAAAGGCATGCGCCACCACTGCCCGGCTTTGTCCCAACTCTTAATCATCCCAGGCCAGCTGTGGATGTCCAGAATCACGAGAGCTCTGAAGAGACCCTGGGAAGGCGAGTGGCTACTGAAACAGCATCCCGCTACCAGGCTGCAGGCTGCCTGTCCCGGGCTGGGAAGGAGAGGCCTATTGAGTCAGGATGCCTGTAGATGTCACTCACAGCTTTGAGAGCATCCCCGAACATCTGGGTGTTACGTTTGGTTTTCTTTGTTTGGTTTTTAGTAATTTTTAAAATCTCTACATAAACATTTTTTAAACTTTTCATTGGTTCTTTGCGGATGTCACACCATGCATCCCAATCCCCGCTCACCTCCCCATCCCTCCATATCCAACCCCTGCCCTTGCAGCCTCCCCCACGAAAGGAAACAAACAAACAAAAAAATCGAACCGTGGAGGCTGCAACGTGTCACACTGTATACCCTTTGGTCCTCACTTCTTTACTTGCAAATGTTCATCCCAGTGACTCGTCGATCTGTTTTGAGGCCTCTGGCTTCTGCTTCACCATCAAGACTGGATCTTCACTGGGACACCTTGGGCATATCCTGTTGTTGACCCGTGACATGGAGATCCGGCAGCTTTGGTCCTGTGGGGCCGGCCCCTTCATGAGCTCCAGCAGTTCACAGATGAGGTAGATGTTGGGGTGGGTCAACTCAAAGACGTGTTCTGGATCCGGGCGGTAACTCAGTTGGTGAGCCCGCCAGCTCTCCCTGTGTAAATATCAGATATTTATATTGCATTTCACAATGGGAGCAAAATTACAACTATGAAATAGCAATGAGAATAATCTCATGGTTGGAAGTCGCGGCGTGAGGAACGGCATTAAAGGGTCACGGCATCAGCAAGGTTGAGAACCACTGGATTAGGGGACGCCTACTGTGGTAGAACTTCAGACTCCTGTAACAACACAGGCTAGAGCCGCAGTGGGAGGCTAGGTTCCTGCCTGGCCTGACCAAAGCCATCTTGAGTCACACCTTCCCTGACTGTCACCACATAATCCTGGTCTGCCCCTCCCACCCCACATTGCATATTGTACTGTGCACAGACAGCCATCAGACTGGAATGCGGATCTTTACGAGACCGAAGTTCAGTCAGCCCCGGGAATGCACGTGCCCTCTTTGATGTTGACTCCAGATAAGCTGTGTATGCTCTGGTTTTGATAAAAATCAATTTCGTCCTGACTAACACAGAGGCCCCTTCTTCTAACCAGATTCACAGAGATGCACTGGTTTTGACCATACTTCTGTTGGTAACAAAGTACAATCTGTGCAATCCTGTCTCCATCTGCCCCTTATCTCCCATGGTGCCTTGGGACCTGTCATGCACAAGGCCCATGTTCTTTGAGAATCCATATACCACACATCTGCAGGCGTGGGCGAGGAACTTTAAGGGATGGGATTCCCACAGTCCTGCTTTATCACAGGGTGACCGAATAGAGAATTCTTCAGGCACATGCAGAGCCAGTCTTTGAATTCATAAAGGACATCATGAGACAGACATCAGTGCTTGTACCTAGTACTCGTCTCAGGGATGGCAAGCCTGAGACTCGTCACCAGCAGCAGTGCGATAGTGTTCTGGAATGTTGTGGCCCCAGCAGCTTGGGTCCTTGAACTTTTCGAGTGGGCAAGGGATTGGAGAAAGGCCAGACACACATTTAGTAAAGCCAGAATCCGGTGGGAGTTTTCTAAAACTGTGCAACCCAGAACCTGCGTGTTTATTGCATATGGAACAAGAAGAAGGGTCTCTCTGGGTGTACAGTCTCGAGCTGTAAACATCCAGGAGGAGAAAGCCATGGTTGCTGCTGGTCTTTACCTGCACTGGTCAATCATTCATAAACACTCACGGACTCCCGAGAAAAGCTTCACATTCCCTTGAGCCTAGGCCGCATGGGAAAGGGCTTGGATCTAGCCTTAGTTTGCCATGCCCAAGTCAACAACAGAGTTCACTCTGGACCTCTCTTCAGGGTTCATACACCCAGGGTCCATACACTCAGGGTTCACACACTCGGGGTCCATACACTCAGGGTTCACACACTCGGGGTCCGTACACTCAGGGTTCACACACTCAGAGTCCATACACTCAGGGTTCACACACTCGGGGTTCATATACCCAGGGTTCACACACTCGGGGTTTACACACTCGGGGTCCATACACTCAGGGTTCACACGCTCGGGGTCCACACACTCAGGATTCACACACTCGGGTCCACACACTTGGGGTCCACACACTCAGAGTCCATACACTCGGGATCCACACACTCAGGGTTCACACACTCAAGGTCATAATTCCTGATTTCATATTTTACAAAAGTTTCTTTGTGGGGAAGGGGAGTTGGTGAGGGTGCCAGTGCTTTCTTTGCCATTCAGCTACATCCTTAGTCCCTCCGTTTTGGTTTGAAACAGGGTCTAGCCAAGTTCCCCAGGCTAGCCACCTTATAATCTTCTCCTCCAGTTTCCTGAGTTGTTGGGATTCCAGGCATAGGCCACATCTGACACAAAGTAGTCTTTTATAAGTATAAAAAAAAAAAAGTTAGAAGTGGAAACACTGGGCTTTCTCACACACTTCAGGAGGACTGACCTACCCACTTGGAGGGACG